CCCGCCCGGCCTGGCCTCATTCAGCCCATTGGCTGCCGCCCGCCCGGCCACGCCCCCAGGGCCCACCTCCTGTCCGACCCCCGCTGCAGGCCCGCCCCGCGCCCTCAGCTGGCCTTTCTGAGTCCGGACAGTTGACTTTGGGCCCCTGTCAGGGAGGGGTCTCCGCACGCCGCGCCTGGGCTCCCGGGCTGGACCCGCGCTCCGCAGTCTTACCTCCCAGCCCAGAGACGGACATTTTAGTGACAAGCTGGGGTGCGGGGCACCCTGGGGGCCACAGAGGCAGCGGGAGCCCGTGCAGGCCATAGGCATGTGATTTGGCCTCACTGGCCCTGCCGAGGGGGCTCCCAGGCCAGAGGTGTGCTCTGCCCAGTAGCAGGGTGCCGCGGTGGGCGTGCGTGGGGAGGAGTTCCTGGCAGACTCCCAAGGGACAGTGTAAGCTGGGACTTCAGGAGTGCGGGAGGAGTGTTGGGTTCAGAGGCCACAGAGTAGTGTGTGTGCCGAGGACAGGGTAAGAGAGCCCAGGCTGAGAATTAAGTGCAGTGAGGCAGGGGGCAGCAAGACTGGGCAGTGGGAGCTGAGGAAAGACCACCTGGTGGCTGGGGGGGAGCAGGGTGGTTGTCCCTGGGGGGCACTGCTGGAAGTCAGGAGCCCTACAAGAGGGTGGGTGGGGGCTGGGCCAGGGCAGCAATATGAGGATGGAGACAAGGACCCAGGATGTTCCAGAAGATGGCAGAGGGGCTTGGTAAGGACTGGAGTGGGATGGGCCCCTGGGCTCCAGCTTGGGTAGTATGCAGAAGATGACACTCCTTGGGGAATGGGCAGGGAGTCGCAAGGCCCAGGAGAATTCTGTTTCCACCGAAGCAGGGACTTAGCTGAGGCCCAGCCTGATGTAGATCTGAGCAAGGGGGCCTTGTGGTGTGGGTCCTGCCGGGGCTGGGGGTGGGAGGCCTGGGCCAGAACAGACCCAGAAAAGCACAACTACCGCCATGAGGACCATTCCGGGGGGCTTCCTAGGAACGGTGCCAGCGGTGCTCGGACAGACAGATGGACACACACGCACACACCTGTTCCTAGGGCAGAAAGAGACAGGCTGCAACGGGGGGCGGGCACTCAGACACACAAACTAGACACAGAGACACACACATCACACACACACGGAGACAAGGTGACGCACATATTCACACCAACACACAGACACAGACTGACTCGGATACGTCCCCGTGCACACACACTCCCACACGTACGGACACAGGTGTGCCCACGTGCCCAGGTATGCACAGCAGGACACAGACACACCCATGAGCACACACAGGCGCACTCCACTCCTGGGCTTCTGTGGGGATGCACACAGCCAGCCGGGCCCAGGTGAGCCTACCCAGCAGGATGACTCATGCGTGCCAGTTCCCGTTAGCTGGGCTGCAGCCGGGCAGCCGGCCAGCCGTAGGTCGGACAGACATGCACGGCACTGCTCGGAAGCCTCCCCTCCACTGAGCCCACGGCACAACGGGGCACAGCCCTGTCCTTTGGCTGTGGGTCTCACCCTTCCTGCCCTGGTGTTCTCCCGCAGGCTGGGCAGCATTGCCCTGCAGCCAGAGACCCTGTGCTCCCCTCTATCCCTGGAGTCCTGCCCTGCTCTGTCCATCTGGGAGTCCGTCGCTCATGGGTGCAGGGAGAGGGCACTCTTTGTGTCCCCGGGTGTGGTCCACATCTGTCCGGACCTGTTGGGATCTCGGCCTGCCCGTCTGTGTATGTGAGTCTGGCAGCGGGGGCCTGGGAACAAGGGGCCCTTGTATAATCAGGGACTAACTTAGGGCACAGACCCAGTTCTGTGTCCCCCTGCCCCATTAGATGAGTGACCTTGGCAAAGTCGTGTGGACCCTGGCTCCCTGTCCAAATGAAGTGGCCTCATTCCATGTGACATCCTGATGTCCAGCATGATGGGGCTATGGTGGCTCCTCCCAGCTCTGTGGGGAGGGCAAGGATGGGGCCCTGGGTGGGGAGGCCAGGGAGCTGCCCCTCCTGAACAGAGGTCAGGAGCAGGGGTCTCACATGGCTGCTGAAGGAACAGCCCTCACCCAGCCCCTGTGCAGCTGGGTGGTCCCTGGGACCGCTGGCTGGCCAGGGACCCTCCCTGGGGCCACTTCTGCACATGGCCTTGGTGAGGGCTGGGTGGGCTTACACTACCCTGCTGGGGCCTTGCTCACTCTGCAGCAAGGGAGTTGGCTTGGCTTGGCTCAGGGCCCAGATTCAGGACGCTCCTGCCCCAGAGGCTGCCCCTCCCTTCTCCTGCCTGCTCTCAGGCAGAAGGCCGATATCACCTGTTATGCTCACCCCTACACATCCCCTGGGGGCCCCTGGGGGCCCCATTTCATCTCTAGGAGGGCCTGGCACCTCAGCAGAGTATGCCACTGTGTAAAGGGAGATGGTCCATACTTTGGCCCTCACCCCCACCCCAGGGCCTGCCATCCCGGGCCCTGCCTCCTGGTACCCACCCCTCCTCCCTCCTGCAGGGGCCTCAGAAGCCCCCCCTGGCCCCAGGATCACAGGGTCAGCCCGGGGAGAAAGCTGCTCTGGTGGAGCCTGTGAAGCCCATCCATAGCCACCCCCCACTCCCCGCCCGTCGCTACCCGACGCCCCCCCCCGCCCCGCCAGCCAAAGCCTGGCTGTGAGTCTGCCACAGAGCCCTGAGCTGCCAGGAGCTGCCATCGTCCTGCCCCGCTACAGCCCTGCCCCATGGCCCCTCCAGGGACAGATGCCCTGCTGGGAAAGGTGACAGCAGTTGGACGTGGCTCAGGAGCCCCTGCTCTCCCACAAGCCAGACTCACAGCCACCCCTGGCCCATACAAGGCCCCCACCCTCAGAGCACTGGGTGGGGCGCACTGTTCTGCAGTGCCCCGTGCTCTCTCCCATGGGCACACACAGGCTCAGCCTCCTGCCTCGGACCACCGCGCTAGGCCACACCTCAGCCCGGCCCTCGCTGATGGGCTGGGAACCAGGGCCTAGGATGCAGGGCACTGGTGGGGCCGGGATGAGGAGTCGGGCCTCTCCAGGCTGGCAGGGACGCCCAGAGCATCAATGATTGATGTCTCTGTGCGGCAGCTGCTGCACCATAAGCAAAAATAGCTCTGCATCGTCCCTGGCCCAGCCCAGCCCAGCCCAAGAGTCACAACTGAGTGGGGGGGCCGCGTAGGACCCCATCAGCTGCCATCTGCCCTCCCATTCAGTCCTCACATGGTGGGGAGGGGGCGGGCTTCAGGTCTGCTGACCCTTGGCCTCTAACTGCCTCAGTCTCCCCCAAGCTGAGTGCCTGCTCCAGGCCTGGGGAAAGGTGGCCTCCTTGACTCATCCCAGTGGTTTGGGTCTGAGAACCCCAGAGGAGCAGAATACCTAGGTGCTTCTGGGAGCAAGGGACACCTCCCCATTGCTCATCAGGCAATGGCTGGGAGGCACCAGGATACTGCGGGGCTCTGAGCCAAGTGGAGGCTGGCCCCTTTCTCCTGAGGCTGGGACAGGGGAGGCTTAGTTTGGTGGCAGAGAAGCTGTCCCCCACCCCTGTTCCGCAGGGCAGGGGGTCAGGGATGGACTGAGCTATCCTGAGAGGAGCCTGGGGGGCCACATGGGCTCTTCCTCCTAACTACACTGTGCCCACCCCCTCCACTCATGCTTGTGTCCCCTGAACCCTCACTTTAATGGCGCCATGCTCCCCTCTGACCAGTCTTCCTCAGCAGGTGAAGCCTCTTCAACTTGAACAGATACCTGCCCTGCCCCCCCCCCCCGGAGGCCTGGCCCTCGGCTTGTGCCCCATGTCTCATGCCCATTCTGCTCAGTTGGCCAGAGGAGCCAGGAGCCACCTGTCAGCTCCCTGGGTTACACCCCCCAAAACCTGCAGCCAGGACTGAGCACCCTACGTCAGTTCACCTCTGCCACCTCCTCTGAGTCTTGGCTCCCACAGGCAGCACCTTTTTAGTAGTCAGAGGTCACCGCTGTAACAAATAACCACAGTGGCTTACACCGACACGTTCATGCCCTGCGGCTCCAGGTGTCGGGAGGGCTGTATTCCTTCTGGGGTTCCAGGGAGGTGTACTTCCTTGCCCTGTTCAGGTCCTAGAGGCGGCCCGCATCCCTCCGTTCAGAGCCCTGCATCACTCTGACCTCTGCTTCCGTCTCTCCAGCTCCTCAGACTCTGATCCCCCCTGCTTCCTCCTTGTAAGGGCATCGGGCTCAACGGCATAACCCAGGACTTTGTCCCCATCTCAAAAGCCTTAACGTAACCATGTCTGTAAAGTCCCTCGTGAGGTCTTGTAAGGTCCTGTATTCACGGGTTCTGGGGACCAGGGCGTGGACATCTCTGGGCGGCATTATTCATCCACCACGGCTAGTAAGACAGGTCAGCCCACCTGCACCCTGAAGGTCACAGCAACATTTTCACTCTTCGCTGAGGCCCAGACAGGGCGTGGGAAACTGCTGAGCTCCCAAGAGCTGGTTCCAGCCCCAGCAACACTTCTCACTCGGGCCTTTGGGCCCGGGCTTCAGTTTGCCCACCTGTACACAGGGACAACTTTTCTCCTACCCCTTTCCCTCCCTGGACTACGAGGACAGCAAGGACAATGGATGAGGGGGTTCAAGCAGTGGGTAGACAGCAGAAATGCCTGGGACCAACACTGTCCCTGGGGTGACATCCAGGCAGGACAGCGGCACTGGCCACCTTCCCACAGGGTCCCCCAGGTGTCTGCCCAGAGCTGGGCAGTCGGACTGCATTGCTGGCTGGCATACCCCTCAGGAAGCACAGGAGGAGGCAGGAGGCTGCAGTCCAGGAGTCAGCGATGAGCTCATCTGGTAATTTTCAAAATTAAAATTTTCAGTAGCTGGGCTGACAAGGACCAGGGAGAGCGGGTGATTCATGCCAACAGGACAGGGCCCAAGGAGGTCACAGGGTGGAGAAATGCGCGGATAGAGGGAGCCCGGGGAGCGGGGTGTGGATCAGGGTTTCCGTCACTTCTGGGGAGGCTGGAGTCGAGCGCACTCAGCAAGGTGGATTTCGTGAGCCTGGAGGTGGGGGCGGATGGCAGCAGGAGGGGCTGGCTGTCCAGGGCCCACACCGGGCCTGCTGCGCCCCCTGTCTGGCCCGCAGGCGGCGGACCGCCATCCGCCCTCACGCGGGGGACAGCGCGGCCCTGGGACTCGGGAGTCGGCCGCGCGGTGCGGGAAGCAGCCCCACCGGAGAGGCCCGCGCGCACCGCGCAACCCGGCAGGGCGCGCTCGGGGCGGGCTGGCGAGTCGGGGCTCCAGAGGCGCGCGGGCCCGCTCCCGTTAAACCAGGGTCCCTCCTCCCGGGGGGCGAGGAGTTGGGGCCGGGGGGTGGGGTGGGGGACACGCAGGCGCACGGCGGGGCGGGCCGGCGCGCTGACGTCACGACGCCGGACGCCGGACGCCGGACGCCGGACGCGGGGGCCAGCGCGCTCCGTTGCCGGGCAACGGGCGGGCGTGGGGACAGCGGCCGCCGCAGCTCCGGGGAGCCGAGGTGGGTGCGGGCCGGGACCGCAGGCCGGGCTCTCGCGGGGACCCCGGCCCCGGGCTGTCCTCCGTCCCGCCCCTGGGCGACCCCATCCCCCGCGCTCCCGCCCCGTGCAGCCCCGGGAGGCTCTGGCGCAGCGCTGTGGGTGTCTCGTGAGCACCTCCCCAGCTCCCCATCGCGTGGACGCGGGCCGGGCGGCACCGACATGCAGGGCCAGCGGCAGCGGGGGGCAGGGCCTGGCCAGACACCCCCTCCCAGCAGGTGTCGGAGCGACCTCGCAGAGGAAGCAGGCGACGTTTCCCTCTGCCCGGCTTCTAAAGACAGCGGTGCGAGCAAGGCGCCAGCGGGGCGGAGAGGCGCGGGCGCCGAGTGGCTCTCCGAGGGCGGGGAGGGCTTTTCTACCTGCCCCGCCTGCGGCCCGGACCCCGGGGAGCACAACAGCGCCTGGGGGGAGTTTGAAGGCTTTCAAGAATCTTCGGCCAAGTCTGAACAGTTCTCCCCAAACTTTGAGCTCCCGGAGAGACCCCCACATCCTCGACGGGAGTCAGTGGCTTCTACCCAAAAGGAGCGTGGTTCTCGCCAGCCTCCCCAGGGCAGGCCTGGGGTGCCAGGAGCCGCGGGCAGCTCACCTTGTGAGGTATTTCTACAGCAGACCCTCTGGCTTCTGTGGGCTGGCCCGGGAGGGGGTCTGCTTCTCTCCTGGCCTTGGTCCCTGCCTGTGTGGCTGGCTGTCCTGTCCTGAGCCAGGGAAGGAAGGAGGCTGGACCATGCTGGGGGGCGACTCAGGAGCGAGCGCTTGTGTGCCCAGTGCTCCTGAGTCCAGGCACTGGGCCTCCACCATCCCGCCAGCCCACCTTCCCCGCTCCGTTCAGGGCACACCGGGAAAGAGCTTTTTGTCCAAATTGTCACTCCCCTTATTCAGAAAGCCTCACCAAGAGTCCCTTCCAGCCTGTGTGTGCTGACCGGGTGCTGGAGATGGCCTGGAGATCCCAGGCCGCGTCCCCTTTGCCTGTGGCACTGCCCTTCCTCACCTGACCACCAGTTTCACCTTTTTTATGACTGCATCTGATCCGTCTTTTCTTATCTTCCTCTTCCTTCCCTTGCTCCTCTTCCTCTGCCATCTCTTCCCAAGGGCTTACCCCGAAACCTCAGAACACCATGAGAACAAAAGGAGTCAGATGAGTAAGGGACGAGAGAAAAGGTTTCGCTGGTTCTAGGGATGAACTGTTTGCTTCCTGAACCAGTGTTTCCCTGGACCTCTGGCGGGAGGCGCTCTCCGTGCAGTCCGCTCTGCTAGCCCGCTGTTCTGAAAACAGGACTTGTCTTCCACTGGGACGAAGAGATCAGGGAACACTCTGACAATAATGTGAACTTTGCAAGAGACACTAGGTGAAGACAGAAAACTGCACCCTGCTGATGTGAATATATGCACTGCACACACACACCCCCCTCCAACAGCTCTCGGGGCTCCCCGCCCTCCCAGCTTGCACACCTGCCCTCACCTCCACCTGCCCAGTGCACACCCACCCTCACCTCCACCTGCCCAGTGCACACCCACCCTCACCTCCAGCCCACCCAGTGCGCACACCCAC